CTTTATTTACAGATTTTTTGGTTTGACATACCATCTCTCTAGTAGTCTCTAGTACTTCATCTATTATAATTTTTCTGTTTTGGCTTGAATGTTTGTTTTATATTTCCTGTAGCCAAATGCATGATCTCCTGAGACTTAAATTTAGTCAATTAAAATTAACTCCCTTTCAACATTTTCATATGGCAGTCTGCCCTTAGGATCAAAACACCAAAGTGTAGGTTACGTTTAATTTCTAGATCAGACTGTTGTGGACAGATGTTTGAAAGCTTAAGATGACTCCAATTCATTTTTACATGGCTTTCTGCCTGGAGAAACATACCGTAGATCGTACCATTGCTGCTTTACTGATATATTGCCATGGTGATGACATATGTAATTTTATCACAACCTTCTGTCAATGGTCCAAACTCTGTCCTTTGTTATGATCATGCAAGCAAACCATCATGTAAATGTAAAGAATCACTTCTATCTTTAATGTCAGATGATTTCAGTCAGATAACTGAAATCACCTTTTCACCCTTCTCTGCATTTCTTTAAACTATATCCAACTCAAAGTGACAGTGAGTGATGTCTTCAATTGATACAGTATGCCCAGCTGTTTCTTCATTGTGTAGCTGTCTTTGTAGGTGTGTAGAACATAGGATTTTACAGAAACCATTTGAATGACCATTTCATCTTAATATGTGTCCCTCGTTGTCAATGTTCATGGTTACGTTTTTGCAGCTAAGTTTTCATCCGAAAAGTAGATGATGTGTTCCTACTCCATACATTCAAATTTTTAGACACAGATTCAAACCTGTTGGAGAAAACAGGTTTACATAAAAAGATTTCATAGACCTTTTAAGTTACTTTTATATATCAAGATAAGAATGGTAAGGGAAAGGGAACAGCACTTTTTTCTTTAATTCCTTATACAGCATAATAAAGAAAAAATTATTTTGTTCTTCAGTTTTAACTTAATTATTCAACTCAGAATGTAAGCTGCTTAATGGAGCAAGGACATCATTATGACAAGTTTGTTACTTTTGTAAAGCAACCATGAAAATGTTATAAACTCTAGCACATTTTAACTTGGTTTTTCTCTGGCTGCCTTCTTTATTTTGTTTATAAGTAAAATATTTTTACTGTCTTGTTTTGATACTACTTATTTCTCCTGGTGTAACTGCTCAAAGGATTCTCTGTCTGGGGTGTTGCAGCAGAGCAAATTCAGACTGTTTTGCTCGGAGAAGGAAGTGGACAGTTTTGGTTCCCATTTTGCACTTCTGGAACAGTTTAGGGAAGGAAACACCTTTACACCTTTTATTGTTCGTGGTTGCTGACATAATATCCTTCCCTGACTGCTCTGTGCGTGCTTCCTGCCATTCTGTCAAGATTCTTCTCTGTTGCAGAGAAGGGATAGCGGGCGTGCATGTGTGTCTATGTGTGTGCATATGTCTGTGTGTCAGTGTTCAAAAGAGAGACAGTACTGGTCAAGTGATTTGCTACATTTTTCCTTTAGCTCTTTTCCCTTCTCGAGGCTCAGATCAATCTTCTGTCAGCTACCACTGCCTTTTGCCAAATCATATAATGAATAGAAGACCGCCAAAAATAAAGTTCCTCTTTTTTAAAGCAGTCTAGTTTGTTTTGGTTTTGATTTTCTTTAACTTTTGGTTTGATTTTTTCTTTAACTACTTGGCTTTGCAAAAAAATGCAGAAAATTATAACAAAATAACATTCAACTCTGTGTTTCTTTAAATGTAATTTGTTTGCACATGATTAGAGTATTAAGCTGGAAGTTTTATGTGGAGCTACTTCAACAAAGCTCCTTTTTAATTTCATTTGGATAATTGAGGCCTGCAGTACTATTTCATTTTTGTAGTACATTCAGCTTTTCTAGTCAATGTGCTTTATTAGTGTTAGTAAAATAACAATTTACCAGTTAACAGGGACTTTAAATACTTACTTATTACTGTAATAATAAACTTTAAATGCTTAATACTGCAATTCTTGGTTCTGCAAGAACTTTCAAAAGGTATTGAGAGCACTGATGAAGTCCTAAGCAGCCATGGGGATTTGCTGGTCTCCAGAGTTCTTTACATTCTGTTTGAATTAGAAATTACAAGCTTTGCAGGTTATAGCCCTTGCATGAGATGTCTTAATTTACTTATCTGAATTTCATTATTTGTGAATCAGTCCTATGATCTTTTTTATGTTTGTACTAATGAAATATATAGAACTATGAGTTAACAAATAGTTCAAGAATAGCACTTGAAAGACTCTGTGTTGATAGGTGTGTGTGTGCTGTGGGGGGGCGGTTCTAAAAGGAAATTAATTTAATAGAAAAATTGAAAACCTTTTATTTAAAATTGGACTAGTAAGCAAAAGGCAAACTAGGACATATAGGAAGAAAGATTTTTTTTAATCCAGGCAAGAAAACCTAACTCACTGCCCATTGAAGCAAATTTATGTTTCTTTGCAAATTACATGTTTCATGCAGATGACCTAATTATAGGTTTTATACAAAATTCGGCTTATCAAGTCTTGCATGAATTACTTGAAACTAAATTTGTGTAGATCACAGGAATTTCAAGGTTCTGAGTTTAAACTGTAAAAGCTGTTGTTGTTTGAAGACTGGTCTTAAGTGTAGAACTGATAAGTGTGTGGGAGGGACTCAACATACTGCTCTTCTGCTGTGATTTTTTATACTTCCTGACAGAGTTTTCTCCATATTAAGTGATTTTTTTCTGAACTCACTAAGCATCTTGATCTGCAGAGCAGCTCATCTTCACTAACCAGCCACAACTGCTCTAATCTGCCCACCCTGACCTTCCACACTGCAGTGAATATCTTAGGTAGACAGTGCTGTAAACCAATAGCACCACTGGCCTCAGCTGAATGAAAGAAAAGGAAGTTATTCCATATGCCCTTACTGTGGATTAGAGTATGGGTTTGCTTCTGCAGAGAAAGACAGTTAGACTCTTTGAGTCCCGCATGTGCAGGGGAAACACCATTCTAATTTGTGCTTTGTGTTGGAGGTAAGATTATAGGAAAAACAGGAAAGAAACCCAAACCAAGGAAATGTAAAACTGTTTCTAAAAATAGACTAGGTTTGTTTGTCAACACTGAAAATCAGATAAGACTGCCTAGCTTTGTTTGGAAAAGAAGCTTTTAAAAATACATTTACAAAATAATTTTATTTTAAATTTTTTGCCTTCTTTTTTTGTTGTTGCTGCAAATATGATCAACAACCCTTGTATCTATTTAAGCAGTGAGTAGCTATTGTTTTCAAATATAAAATATAAATATAAAATATATATAATATATAATAATATAAATATAAAATATAAAATATAAAATATAAAATATAAAATATAAAAAGCAGCTAAGAATTTTTGCAGTCTGTATTTTCTTATAGTTGCAATATGAATTATTCCACGTTCTGTGTTCTGCATTATGGCAATAATATACAAATATTCCCAGAAAATAATATAAAAAAAACATTAATATATAGAAATATAATAACTACTGTTCTTGAAGATTTGTTTTGCACAACAGATTAATTACACCATAGTGGCTCGCTAGAAAACTCAGACCGACTGCTTATTTGTTAATTTTTTTTTTCCTTAGAGTGATAAAACACTTGAAAAACCTAAAGTTTAATGTATGGTATGTAAGAAAATCAAAAGAGAATTGAAGATCAAAAGGAGTGAGATCTAACTCTTCTACCTCAGTAGCTTTGGATCAGAGCCAAATAATGGATTAAATGTCCAGGATATCAGCTTAGTGTTATACAATACTTTGTGAGAATTTATCAAGTCAGCTGAGATACTATAAGTTTAGAATAAATGAGGAAATGCCAGGCTCTGTTTTAAAATTACATTTTTTTTTAATTCCAAGGCAATATTTTTACTGCACTTCAAAAGAACATTTAAATTCATATTGTTCAGATTTCTTTTTCCTATTCTGTGTTTAAAAACCTTTGTGCTGTTCACTTAAAACATATAAAAATATACTAATATGGTAAACTAAGATTATAAAGCAGAAAAACTTGTGTTTTTTACCTTATACAAGACAAAATAATTTTTGTATTTTTAACTATTTCCATGGACTCTTTTATTATTAAAATAAAAGTATTTTATTGTTAAAATACTTTGGATATTATATAAATTAATTTTGTGGTCTATAACATTTTGTGAAATATGTTTCCTGCATTGTGTATTTTTATATACTGTACATTTCTCTCCTTAGCTCTGTGACAGAGCCAGTATTGTAAAACTCATGCGTTACTACAACAGTGAAAATATTTTTCAAAACATTCTTCATCTGCCTCTATTGTTCTGTTTTTATGAGAAAACATGTGTTTGCAGGTTAGAAATCCTTGTAGAACATTATAGAATTTACACTAAAATGAAATGACAGAAAAGGGCACTAGTGTTTTTTCACATACTATAATATGTGAAATATCTTCAGTAATATTTTCACTAATTTATAGTCTTAAAGAATAAAGCTAGGAACTTTGGATTCAAGGTAGCTGGCAACTCTTATAAATCAAATAACACTTAAATAAATGTCCATTGTATTTGCATAAGGAGGGAAATTATCACCTCTGCTATCTAAGTGCAAAATTATTTTCCCTTCAGAAATAAATTAGCTGGCCTGCTTAGCATACATAGATACAGAATAGTTTATTAACTCTCTGATTTAGGTAATTTTTCATATTAGAGCTGTGAGTGATACTTAAAATTAGAGACATTAATTCCATTAAAATTTTCACTACTTGTACTTCAATTTTTTTCTTTATTTCTTGATATATTTGTATTTGGTGTTTTCTTTCATAGAAATAACCCTTTGAATAATTTTTTTTTTTCTTCTGTGCATTACTTTTTTAATAGGTGCATTAAATTTTAGTTCAAATTTACTTGTACACTAAATTATAATGAGGATGCTTGGCCAGTTTCGTGTAATAACTTTCTTCTGGTTATCAATTTCATGGTAACATTTGATTTCCTTTCTGTGTTTAGCAGGAACAGATGCAGGGGACTGTGAACTGAGTGGTGCAAGTGCTGAAGAAGGAGGTTTGTTTTGAGGAAACAGGAAAGAGGAATAAAAGAGAAGGGAAAAATACGTAATTTTAAGGAAGAAGAAGAGAAAAAAAAACGGGGACTATGGGGAGAAAAAAGATTCAGATTACAAGGATTATGGATGAACGTAACAGACAGGTGAGTTGAAAAAATACCTGGCTTAAGCATCATATTATATTTATAAGGTAACATTATTAAAGGTGATTAAAAAGTGATAAGTCTGTGTACCTATGCATATACCAACATGTACATATACATAATGTATGTTAGACTATCAAAGAAAAAATACTTTTGTAAGGAGCCTGAAACCTCACACACAGTGTTTTCAAGTTCAGTAACATGCACAGTTAGGAAGTTATTACTTGAAGACTTTATTCTATAAAGACTGCTGGGTGTGCTCTACTTGCTTTGAGTTCAGTCTGGAATATACATGGTTAAGCACACCTGTGAGTTGCTACAGGACACAGGCTTTTAGTACTCTATTTTTTGAACTGTGTTCAATATGAGTTATTATAATATGAGCACTTTCATTTAAATTCAGACATCCCAATTCTTGAAGGTGAAGGTGCTCCTTCACATTTGCAGGGTCTTTATTTTTACCTCCTTCATATAAAAAAGATACTACTTCATAAAAAAGTTTCCTCTTTTTCTGTCTGAATTTTAAGAAGAATTTGAGTAGCCTAACACATTCTAAAACCCACATACAATAATACTAGAATGTTGAAGTCATAAAACCAAGTGACCATCACTATTTAGCTAAGGCTAAATAGGTCCAATAGGACAGATTAACTAATTTTTAACTCTGCTTTAAATAAAATGGTTAGGGAGCTATCACATATTATCAACACTATCTCTGGTAGTTGAAATATGATCATTTAGGAATTAGGAAATTTTCTTCCCTGTGGTCACAAATATAAAATTCAATAACTGATATTTTCAAATAATATTGGTGAAAATTGCTGCTGTTTACATTTGATGAAAATGAATGGATGTGGATGTTTTGTTGAATCTGGAGATCCACAACTGTGATAATCTCTCCACATAATTATTTAATACTGTGTTTAATGTTCTTCCTACCCCTGGCTGCAATTTAGGAATAATCTTCAGTAGCTGATTTTTAAGAACTTGATACTGAGTTACTATTAATATAGTAGTACTACTAATTTCATCTATAAATTTCTTCATATCCTTAGGGATTTTCTTAAGAATCTGTTAGTCATGGAGGATTTTATGAAGCCTTAAAAAACTCAGCCTAAGCATAACAACAAATAATAGTCCTTAAAAGAATTTTTAAAAATTGTAGTGCTAGTAGTAACTTGTGATCGCTATGGCAGAAAATCATGTGTAACAGCAAAATGTTCCTTATGATGGATGCATTTAGTGTTTTCCCTAAAAGTTGCCTGTTTTTGTAAGACAGGCTAAAAAGCAATAATTCTAAGAATGTATAAATGTAATCATATATATTTTAATTGTCTTATAGCATGGAGTTAAAATTGGATGTTAAATATTAAATTGAATTTATTATAAATATTAAATCAGTAGTTGTTTGAAACTTTCCCATGCTATAATGGCTTCTTTTTGAAGGGAACCTGAATTATTTTGTAAATGATACCACAAAATTTTGCCATTCACAGCATTAGTTCATACAACAAGTTTCAGTCTCAACTTGCCTGCTCAAATATAGTATTTACAGAGATTTTAGCCCCACTTCTGTAAAGAAAACACTTTAAAAAGGTTAAATATACTTTTTAAAAAAGGAGACAGCTAGTCTTCAAATTATTCACAGTAGAGTTTCAGGAATTACAGAATCAGTTTTGGAACTAATTATGAATAAAACTGTAACACTAGACTACTAACAACTGTAGTGTTAGTGCAGGAAGTGTTTGTTTCACTAGCATTTCTTAGATTCATAGAATCACAGAATGGTTTGGATTGGAAGAAACCTATTTCCAACTCCATTGCCATGAGCAGAGACTCCTTCCAAAAGACCAGGTTGCTCAAAGCCTGACCTCATACACTTCTAAGGAACAGGGCAGCCATAGTTTCTGTTGTCAAACTGTATGTGTGCTTCAGCACCCCCACAATAAAGAATTTTTTCCTAATGTCTAATCTAAACCATCTAAACCTACTCTCTGTCAGCTTGAATACATTCCCCCCTGTCCTGTCACTCCACGCTCTTGTAAAAAGTCCCTCTCCCTCTTTCTTGTAGACTCCCTTCAGGTACTGGAAGGCTGTAGTTTAGTTCCAGTCTTCTCTTTTCCTGGCTGAACAATCCCAATTCAATATTTGCTAATGTATCTTAGCCACTGTGAGGCTGGAGGTAGATTTAGATTATTTTACTTTCCATATTGTAAAATTGTCTTGAGTCTGCTTCTTATTTCTACTAATATATTAATGATAATTTTTAAAAAATTTCTACTGACTTTATCTTGCATTTCATGCCCTGATTTAAAGCTCAATGAACCAAATGAAAAGATTTTCATCGTTTCATTGGACTATGGTATTAGGCTTTTTAATTTTAGTAGTATATATGTGATTAAATACAACTGGATTTTTAATAATAGCTGATTGTTTTAACAATTTATATGAGATGTACTCTTTCACAAACCTCACTGGTTCTTAAAATATTGCTGCTCTAGCATCACAGCATCAGTTTGTTTCCTAACTTGCACATTTCCAGTAATCTTAAAATATGAACTTTCTTCTATTCCTATTTTGTCTTCTTATTTGATTGGATAAACATATTTAAAAAAAAAAAGATTAAAATGTTGCACCAGACAAAAATAGTTAAATTTTTTTGATTAGCAAAGCTAAGATACCAGCTCAAGCACAGTTCCACAAAGCACCTATTTGTAGCTCCATTTACAGATGGAGATATTTTCTTTCTCCCTCACCAAAAAACATTTGCAAGAACGGCATCAAGTGGCTTGGCTAGAAACTGCCTTATTGTTTGTTGCTTACATTCAAGCACAGCATGGTTTCACAATATAAGGTATGTTATATATGATATACCTGGATGGTGCATCCTCAGCTGTTCTCAAGCACATAAATCCTCTACAGTACGGCACATGCTGGTAAAAATACGTGGAACATGTATCAAATGAGGAGCTATAGCAGTAGTTTTATTATTCTGTCTCCTCTCCTAGTGCGAAGGTGAATCTATTTGGAAATCAGAATATTTGTAAAATGGTTCAAGTTGCTACAAGGTCCAGGGAGCAGAATTCTTGTCCTTGATTTTCCACTCAATTTCCCAGCCTCCTTTATGTCAGCCACTGAATGATGTACTTGTTCTCTGTGTGAAAAAGCTATTTTCTTCCACACTACTATCTGCTATAGTAGAAGACTCCCCTACACTTCAAAGTGCTTGTATGAGTGGATTGGGAAGGACAAAAATAGAGTTGATCTCCCTTCAAGAGAATTTCTTCTGAGCAAGTCTAGTTGGTTGGATTTGTGCACTTTAGTGACCATACTGGTAATAAAAGTCATTTCAAACCACCCAGAGTCATATTTTTGGCTGCAAATATCACAGACATGCACAATTTGAGGATACAATCTGTGCTTTTCCAGAAGCTATTTTAAGCTTTGACTTTTTGGGATAAATTAAAGGGAAAGGGCTTCAGTTAAGTCATTAGAGGCCCAGTCCTTTACCCTGGCCTGCTTAAGAGTTCTCACATTATTGAGTGACTAGTGAATGCAGAATTCAGGACTTCAACTGGCAGAAACCATTAATTTAATGATGTTTCTTGTGACCTGCAAGTTGGCTATATTTTTCTAGTCCTCATTGATACTTTATGGTGACAAAGATGGCACAAATGTTTGACGCTATGAATGATCATGGATTTTCTTTGGTTGGAAAGGGTTCAGACTACCTGAAAAATTCCCTTTCACTGTTTTTTGACACATGTAGAAGGAAAATGAATAACTGCCAGGCCTAGATTAAATATTTATTTCTTTTGTGTGATTTGGTTACTACCATAGCATTAAAGATAAATCAAAACTCTCAAGTGAATCCTGTTATAATTAGACAATGTGACCAAATATTTTCTTTTTATTCCAGTGGTAATTCATGGATAATATGGTCTTTATAAATGTATACCAGGAATGAATCCCTGGTAATATTGTTCAGGCTCAACAAGGTTGTGAAGTTGTGCTAGCTTTGTCAACAGATCATTTAAATAGACTGTGACTGCTTACATAGTAGTTCCACCATCAGCAGAATCAATAGCATTTTGGCAAATAGCCAAAAATGTTAGCATTGAAATCTGATGCTAGAAGTTCCTGACTGCTACAAGTTCTTTCTGCAGAAATTTCAATTCAGTAGATTGGAGAAGAATTCTGGTAACACTTCTAGAATGGTTAAAAAAAGAAAAAGAGGGAGATCACTTGGGAAAACGTGTGAACCTTATTTTCCTGTTTTCTTAATTGAAAGAAATAATTTATCTACCTTTGCTATGGTCAACATATGAAGGAAAAATAGTATTCCTCTCTCACAGAAAAGTCCTTGTGTTTTTTCTGGGTTTTGTATAAAGGTGAAATATTTTGTTAGTTTATAATGATAGCCTTTTTCGGTCTGCTTCAGATGAAGACCATCTGAAATTTTTTGCAGCCATCCAGACAGAGCTGTCCAGACCTAAAATACATAGGTGTAATGACATAAATGATATTGTCTTACTGTTCTACAAGGTCTCTCACAAAATATCTCATTAAATCTATGGTCTGTAAGCTAAATCCAGAGGTATATTGACCCAAGAATGAGGGCATATTGACCCAATGATTTTCTGGTGTCAGATCTGGAACACTGTCTTGCATTTAATCCCCATTTTTTGTCTAATTAATATTAGGAAATATGAAGCCTTACATGGTGATTTTTCTGTCCCTTTGATTTTCTTGCTCATTAGTTTTGCATTTTTTCCTGCTTCTGAAGAGCGACAATTACAACTGAGTTTTTCATATGTAATGATTCTGCACAGCATTAATTTCTTTCAATTTGTAATGAGCTGCTGGGATCTTAACTTTTGTTAAATACCATAGTAAGTCTAGAATTCAATATTAAGGTGTTTGACATTGAGACACCCTTTTTAAAGCATCATGTCTGTGTAAATCTGTAGGGTATAACAATAACATACACTGCTGTTTAA